ATTTATTAATAAATAAGACATCAGTCTATTAGGTTATGCTTCCGTGTGTTTTTTTTTTAAATCTTATTTTTTAGTGTTTATAAGAAAATAATATTCTAATTGGGGTGTTTGAGGGTGTGCGTTAATTAACGTTACATGTTGTATATCTAGATATATGATCTCAATTTTCTGAAGGTACTTTATCTGCTCCAGTAAATTAAAAAGCTTGTTTTATAATTATTTATTTGTAAACATGCGTGTTACATAAGTTTCTATAGTGACAAAAATTCAGCTAATCGATTGCTTAACAGACTTTTCTATTCTAGTAAACACCGTGTTTTATAACGTCGACATTGCCACCTTCGTACCTTCTATAAGAACCAAAATTCTTTAACCTTCCTAGGGTCAAAATCAAATTCAGCTGGAGGTACAGTGACATTCACGATTTTGTGCACTTCCTTCAAATTAGGGAAGGCTAACTGAAGCTGAACAGTGATGTACACGAAGGTAGAGGCTGCTATATTCAGCACTAAGCCAGTGTTGAACGAAAAGATACCGTACACTGACACATGGGCATCTCTCACTTCCAAAGTCTTCAATATTTCTTTTGTTAATTTTAATATTTTGGCTGAAAGCAAAAATAACGTCATCAGTTATCTAATGTTGTTATTACTTTAGAAGTAAAAAAACTATAGGCATGTAAATAACAATTGCAAATTTAAATATAGGTAATCCCAGAAAAAACAATAAAAAAATTATCGAATTTCAATTTTCAAAGTTATGGATCACATAAAACAAAATCGTTATCCGTGTCGTCTGTCTGTCCCTATATTTGCTTAGATCTTTAAAACTACGCAACGGATTTTGATGCGGTTTGTTTAATAGATAGAGTGATTCTTAAGGAAGGTATAATACAGTAGAGAAACACTGATAAATTTAGAGGTTTCCAATGTAATGTCGTAAATTACACAAGCATTGCACCCGTGTGAAGCCTGAGCGGGTCGCTAGTTTCAAAATAAAGCCAAGTTTCATGTCCTTATTTCACAAACTTTTTATCTGTTAATATGTGTGTCTTCCTTACCGGAACTACTCGGCTTTAGTTGTACGTAAGCACAAATTAGCTTCAATTGCTCTATTTCTTTGAAAAATAGGTCAGACTGCATACTCGTTGTCAGCAGATGAAACCAGCTAGCGACTGACCAGCCCAACATAGCAGTCGCGCGTATTATCATCGTCTGGAAAAAGGTGTTCATGAATTTTCTCAATTACATTTTACATTTAAACCTTTTATGGGTATCTCGTAATGAAATTAGGTAAATCAGTCAAAGGAACGGTGGGTGCCAACAATGAATAGACACTTTTTATAAGTTTTTCTTCTTCTTCGAAGATATAAGATAGTATTTTAATGCACTGTTACTTTGTTCGCGTAGAATATGAATTTTAGGACATACCTTTTTTTTGGTTCAATTTCCTAAAATAAAATTAGCCTATGTTTTACTCCTTAGTACATCATCTCCTTAGTACGTTCCAGAGATTAGCCAGTACAAGCAGATAGGCAGACAAAAATTGTGATTTTGGTATGTGTATCGTATGTTTATTCATATGCAAATGCATATATTAAAAATTGGTTGTTTAATGTTACAAACAGACACTCCAATTTTATTAATCTGTATAGCTAAGCAATGAATAACTTTTTGTGGATTGATTTTTCAGTTAGTAAGTCTTTTAACTATAGTTTGTTAGTCACTTACTTCAGACGTCTGAATGTACATTATAAATGTTTGAACTGCCACTAAGGAACCCACCGCGATTGTAGCTGCACCTAAAACAAGCTGAAATCAAAGAACACTTTAGTAATATCAATCATTTAATGATTTCAGTATGCGGGAGTGTATTCTTATTTAAATTCACTTGACTCCAGTATAGTTTACATGTAAGAGCCACTTACTGCAAAACTATAGCAATCCTCAATCCTGCGTAATTGTGCGAACAGCATTTTGATAGCGACACAAAAGTTCTTTGTATCAGATCTGGCATGAAAAGTTATTCGATCATCGTATTCATCTTTCCAAAAGAGTGCATCAAAAAGGGTCTGTTTAGGAATATACTCCTTCTTGATCTTCGTAAATTTTATCAAGGCTATGTTCAGGTAACGTATTCGCATAGTTATAAAGGAGTTTAAGTATATGAAGAAACAGAATTCGTCGTAGGCGAAGAATAGCCAGAGAAAGTAGATACTGCCTACGACGTGTATTGCTATGGACACATGGAACACATAGTACATATAAGCCACGACCGTCACTTGCGTGAATCCTATAACAACCAGAATAATTATGTACAACTTGAGGGACACATCTCGCATAAAACCTGTTTCTTCAACGCCCAGCAATGTGTCGATATCTATGTTATTTTGCATCAAGTCCAAACCAATGTAGTTGTCCCCAAATGTTATGTTGGACATGAGTAAATTTGCAAAAACTGTGAAATATATAATTGCTATGTATTCCACTAAACTGAGGTACTTTTCTGTCGGGTTTGAAAACCATAATAGGTACGCTGCACTCGCGTTGGCGAATATTAAAACGCAAATGTTGTATATCATCGTTCCTCGATTCCTCTCGATCATCTTGTCATTTCTTATCACAAATCGACAATATCCAGTAGTTTCTAAGATACGGAAGATATTTTTGAGTTTTAGAACGTAATCTTTTGTTAGCTCATTTTTCATTGAAGCCTCTGTCATCTCCATCTTGGAAACGTCTGGCTAGATGAAATTACTAAATGATACTACGTTATGTAAAAGCCATTTGTTAATATCGATTTACATTTTGTCTTTCCGTGACATCTTATCATTATTGTGAGTATAGTAGTCTCAAGGGAGAAATGTACTTCATTTAATAACGACCCTAAGGTAAACTAAGTGTTTATGTTTTATAATTTAACTATTACGACTGAATTTATGATATGCTAATTAAATTGCTAAGTAAAATACATTAAAAGAAGTGCCATACCTTTAAAATACTTCTTCTTCCATTCGAGTTACTATAACTACTAGTTAGTTATTGTAAAAGTACAGTATGGAACTGGATACATAATAAATATTAGCTGTCCCATTACTAGGTAAAAGCCTCTTCTTGAGCGTGCACGGAGAAGAAATGTTTCTTTAAAGCGTGTTAAGTGAAAGGTTCTTCACGTTTTAATTCACCATGCACTAGATTTATTTAAGAATTAATAGATTAATTAAATACTTATTTGAGGAGGACCTAGCACCTTTACCATAATATTTATTGTAGAGGAAGACGGCTTTCTTCTTTTATTTTTTGTTATATCTATGAATGAAACTACAGAAATTTTATTGATGATATATTGCTTATCAATACAGAGTAACAAATTGTTTGTTTCTTAAAATACAGTTTGAAATTGTATCAAAATGCTAATAAATGCAACAGACAAGTATGTTTAACGAAGGCATTGCGCTATCACAATTGTTACGGACCGCCGTCGATGCACCGACCAATGATAAGCCAATATAAACGTTCAGATCTATTCCATCTTGCCGAATTGTACAAAATATTTTAACAATTATCTTTTAAAAATCTCATAAATGCTAAGTAGGTACTACTAACATAATTATGCATATTACTTTCTCAAATTTTACTACTATTTTCTAAATTTAGACATATTTACAATTCTTTAAGTACATAATTTATCCACAAGCTTCGCTGTGAAAGCGCAAATGTATCAATTGAGCATCATAGTCTTTTTATACCCTCTTTTAAAACTCGGAAGCGCTTCATCAAGTCCACCTTGATGTCTAATTAAAATTATAACAATTGACGCATTAAATAACACATTTACACAATACATAATTCTCACACACACTCACAGCACAAACTGTAACCGATCAATATTTTAATTTAAATAATATAAATACTTCTAGAAATGCAGTTCAACTTGGTACGACATGTCGGGCGCCGCAACAGGGCGCCCCAATCGAATTTAATAAATTTGGACTTTATTAAAGTACAAAACAAAAAACAAACATAACATTTTTCTATAGTTACAATACAAATTAAAATTGTGACATAATTTGTGTTATTAATTTGAGAAATAATTAGGAGCTAGTATCACTAAAACGAGGAAAGAGATTCCTTACCGTGGATTTAATTTAATACCAAAGCAAAAGCTTTGATATTTGCTTATGGGTCGGACAAGAAGTGTCATCCGATCCATAACCGCTTCATTTCAAGTCAGCAACATTAACATCATATCTAGCACCATCCACGTAACTCCCCCTCTGTTATCAATCTCCCCTGTCTACCCTGGCTGGTTTGAAATGAAACTTACAATCGATTTCTATGAGACAATCGGACTAAAGCTATTTTAAACTATCTTAATATGTAACTTAAACGTAATCCCGTACCATCACCAAAGATTGCACATAATACCCGATACTTTGATTTTTTAATTGCAGTCATGCCTAGCTATAGGCCAGTGGATTCTTTCACATTGACTGTTAAAAAATTAAGGTATTTTTTCATTGGAACAAAACATGGATACTGTTCCGTGGTTTTATACATAAATACATAACATGTATTCTCTTAAATCACGGAATGTCTACAATAGTAGCTTGGAAGACAAAATCGATTACATAACTAAGAGGAATTTCGAGTGTGCAGGCTCAAATTGAACTAAAATAAGAACTGGGTTTTTTAGTAAATATATTGTAAGTATACGTATAAAACGGACGGAATAAATTCGTAGTGTTAAGTACAATTATGCCATATTCGTTTAAATTTCACCATGTTGTTGAAAAAATCCGATACCTTAATTGGTACCTGTTGTTTGACACTTGTAGCCATTACAGACAAAATTGTTCTGTGTATATTTGGACGTAGTTGTACCTCTTACATTATTTAATGTGAAATACCCACAGAATATTGTTTCGTATCACAACAAGAATGTCTTTAATGTTTACAAGTACTAGTAATAACAGTTATGAAATTATCATTTATGTGTATTTAGTTGTGTACTGGCATTGGCAGCTGTCCTAGGAGCTGGTTCGCGAACGTCGCGTTGGTGAACTTGAAGTGTCGTTTGTCGTAGAACTTTAGCAATGCAGGAGAATATGGATGCTGTTTCTTTAGGTGCATGTAATGTTCCTCCGGCTCCGATGTCGTGTGTCCGCATTCTTCACAAACGTACATCTGAAAGTAATAAAATAGATTTTAGTTATTGGTGGTATATTGTGATAGTCTTTTAAAATGATTTTGTAAAGATGTATGGAATTGTGTGTTTAAAGATTTTATAGAAATTATTGTTATTATTCGTTGCTAATTGTATATTGATACAAAACGTTTACAGAAATAAGATACTGTGATAATTACCTTAGTCCTTCTCTCTTTGTATGCATAGGTATGTTGTACTCCATGGACTTTCAAGCAGTGGGACTCCAGTGAGCATCTTTGGGTAAACGATTTCTCGCAGAGGTTGCATTTGTATGGTCGTACACCAGTGTGCGTCCTTGTGTGCCTTTTTAGATCGAAGGTGTCATTGAACCCTTTGCCACAGAAGGTGCATAAGTATCTCTTCACGTCTGAGTGACATTTCATATGTCGGTTCAAGAGCCTCTGTAAACTGAAGTTCTTGGAGCAGACCCTGCATACAAACTTCGTAGGATCATCTTCGCTTACTAATACTTGTTTGTTTTTCTCCTCCTCTCTTTGTCTCGCATTAGCTTCAGTTGCCAATGGATTCTTCACACCATGTCCACCATTTATAAATTCCAACGGAAGTTCTGCTGGTAAACCCAACTGTAAATAAAATAAACATATTGTAAGAATTATGTTTACATTACACAAGTGTAAAAAGAGTGAAAATGTGCTTCGAAAAGGGTATTGTGCCATAAAAGATTGAAATTCATCATGGAATTATAAAGCTGAGCTTATTTCTAATGTGACACAAATACAGTTTCAGATGCAGAAAGTTAAAGCATAAGTTGATTTAGGCTCGGCGTAATAAAAAAATATTTTATTACAACTTCTATGTCGTTTTCATTAATATAAGACGACATAGAAGAAAAGAAACGTTTAAAGCTTCGCCTTAAAATCAAATAATGCTTACCCTTTGTTGCAAGATTTGAATTTTGCCATCGCCGGCAGAGGCTTTCTTGAGACTTACAGCAGCAGCTGGACTGAGTGATGCGTTCTCGATGTGACTGCTCCCATCCAGTGAGTTGTTGCCGCCAGGAGAAGGCAGTGAGGTGCCCGTCGGTGAGTCAAGGTCGAGCGAAGGATGACTAGTGAAGGGGAAACCCGGAGACAGAATCTGTTGTCTCTGCTGGAGTTGCACGTGAATTTGTAGCTGTTGCATTTGTCCTTCACCATGTTGTAAAAGAGCTGGATTCAATTGCATCAATAAATCTGGCCGATCCTTAGTGAAATTGTATGAGGAACCCTGATTTTCTTGGCTGGCGAATGCTAAGTAATTAGCTTTTTCATAATATCTACTTAAATTAACTTGTTCTGCTAATGATTCAATATCTACAGGATTGTGTACTGAATCTGGTGTAATAGAAGATGATTCTCTAATATCTGAATCCGTAATTGATTCTACGTGGTTATTAAGTAAACTAGCAAAGTCTTCTGCTGAATCTGAAAGGTTTCCTAATATGCCTTCGTTTGGTCCAGGAAAAGTTAGTGTGTTGGCAAATTGATAGTTGTCGATGACATCTTCTCCCATGTCAACTACCATTGATTCATCGAAATTATTTCCATAATTACCAATAGCGCCTATGTTTTCTAATTTACTTTCATAATCTATTTCTTCATCTTTAAGCGCTAAGCCGTAGTGAGCATTTTGCATTAATGAATACTGTTTACTTTGTTCTGGGAAATTAGTTGCATTGTCATTATTTTCGCAATCCATGTTGAATCCATTGATTATATTGAATTCATTAGAGAAGTTGCTATTGGCATTAAATGAATTTTGGCCGCCTTTTGTAGATGGCCCTAAAGTTTCGTAGAAAGGAGGAAGACTGCCTGTAGGTGGGCTGTTTGGTCCATAATTAGAACGGCCGTCTCGTCCATTGCCGCCACTTCCAGAACCACCTCCGATGGCTCCGCCCCCACCAGACGAGGGTGCCGTCCCACCGCCACCAGAACTAAAACTACCTGAGCCACCAGTACTTTGTGAACTGCCATTTGAACCGGTGTTTCCAGTAGATCTACCATGACCAGCAGCAGCGGTAATAATACCTGGAACTTTATTCGGACAATTACGCAGTACTAAAGTTGGTCGCGCTAAAATTCCATTGGCGATTTTTGAACTGCTTGTTCTCCTTTGTTCTCTTATTTTCTTTTCAGTTTCTTCATCTTCTGATTCACCACGTTTTTTGGCAATAACGTAATCAATAGGTTGGTCTTGTTCTGGTTCAGGGACAGGTAATGTTTGTGGAATACTAACGTCAGATACTTCTTTTTTTCCATCACGAAACTGTGACTGTGATGGTGTTCTTTGTATGACTGACACTTTTTGACATGTAACACTGTTATCAATGCCTGGTGAGGGAGCTGATTCTGGCGATGGGCTATTTCTAGAAGGAAGCACAACTGGATCACTGTCAAGTGTGTCTTTTTCTTCTTTTATAAGAGGTTTGTCTTCCTTTTTCTTTTCTTTAGCTAAGACCGGCAGGTACTGTTTACGCTCTGCTTGCGTAAGAACGTGTCCTCTATGACTGCCATATGGGACGTCACCTCCGAGTATGGAAGATACAAATCGAGGTTCTTTAGAACGTTTGTCTCTTGGAATTTTTACTCCATTGCTTTCGCCGAACACATCTCGTTCTGAAATAAAGAAAAATAAAATATAAGTAAATAGTAACTACACAAGCTAGGTTCCTAAAATTATAAGTATTAACAAAGATTTATTTAATATAATGGAGGGAACAATGGTTTTAATAAAATAGTAACTATTTGTCCTCGGCTTTTTACTAACGTATTCATGTGGCGTCGGAGGCATGAGGCCTCGTTGACGTCACTGGTATGTGCCTCCATAACGGTAATACTCGCCTCTACATATACGCTCACCCAAATGAGTATGTGTGAGTGTATGTTTTTATGTGTATTTGCGGCATTATTGTAATTGGCGCGCAAGCAGACAGCAGTGACAAAATCAATCTCGACCCAAATCTACCATCCATTGACCGTAGTTGTAATCATACCATAGTCTCTACTGAATGTTTCCGGTCTATCATTATATTTTAATTTTAACGACCGCGTGTTATTTAACATCAATAAAGATAGAAATGTTCTAAAATTGTTTGTAAAATTGCAAATAAAAAAACTAGGCATAATAAAATACATTCAGAAAACAAAATAACGAAATTAATTTTAATTTATTACGCTAGTTTCTCAAACAAGAGTGAATCCCAAAATTAAAGGAAGTCATTTGTTTCTAGAAAAAAATCCTCTATTATAGCAAAATATGCGTAGGTAGTCAGTGAAAGTCTCAAGGTTGGGCCAAACGAGTTTCTTTGCCCTTTCTCGGCTTTTGTTAGGGACTCAAGGACGAAACCCGTGCATTGTTGGGGATCTTTTTTGTATGAGCTTGTAATTGTATGCGTCTGCGCAGCCGGGCGTGAAACGCCGGCTCTCGTTTTGAATCTCGCCGTCCATAGGCCACGATTTTGTATTGCTTTCAGGTTAAAGAAGGATATTTTGTGTTGTGTTCGTTGACAATTTTTATAGCGGCACTTAAGACTCGTAAATATTTTATGTTTGCTTTTTGTACGCCACGTTCATTCGTTGGTCGGTTTCTTAGAACTGTCCATAAGCCGTCTGTTGCTATTGGGTAAGCTTTGACCTACAAAGGACATTGAATTATACCGTCTAAATACCAATTACTCCTCGTACGTTTTACATGTGCATCATAAAAAAGTTATCCGTAATCTGTCCGTTCGCAGACAGTTTGCAAGTTGATTTTATTTATACTTTGTAGTTATTTATGATTAAAAATGCTTTTAAACCATGTGGTAATAAAAGTTTATTATAAGTTCTTCACTTATTTTGCGTATTAAAGGTTACATCGATGTTAACTGCCGGTTTTAAAATGGTCACTTTTATTATGAACTATTTAGCCTATCACAATTATAAGAAGTTTGGTGAAATATATCTCAATGGATGCAATTAAAGATATACATAAAGTATAAGTAATACTAAAATGCTTTTGACACCATAACATGCGCGTTTAAAATAATTCCCCAAGTATGTAAATACATATCAAAGTATTGCTATGTAAAAAAATAACGTCGCGACTTTGAAATAGCTCACGAATTCGGAATAAAATTTGCTGCAGATGGAGAGGAATGCCGTAGCCGGTACACTTTATATGGTGAAGATCGGAATGATAACGTTTCAAATGTGTGACAGAGACATATTATACCGATTTAAGGTATGTTTCAACGTAAATTAGTATCTTAATGCCAATGAAAACAGCATAAAGAATATTAATTTTCTTAGACAAGTAAGTAAAGTGTTGATTAAATAGTGATAAGAAAAAAATAGGTAGAACTTCAATCAATCGTTATTTCTTCGAGAAAAATAGAAGTCAACCTAATCTGTTTACTCACCTGGTTAGCATTAATTTAGCACAATTTGATGTTATACCTAACAAAAGGAACTTGTTATGCTAAACCAGTACATGCCCTCCAGACAAGGTTGTGTTACAGTTTCAATTAGTGCAAAATATGAGTACAGCTATCAATGGAAATACTCCACTATGTTAATTAACTTTACCTTTTGATGATTATAAAGCGGACTCGTAAATAGTATTAACTTAGTATCATATTATAAGTACTTTTACTGTTAGTATATTTACGTTTCTTGTTAGTACATATTCCGTGAACTGTTCGAACATTGAATATTCATTAGGAGACAATCTATTGAACTTTAAAATTTGAATTGAATTTGGTTCGCGTTCGTAATTAGTTTGACTTGATATGGTACTAAAAATGCAAAGGTAATTTTCGCGATATGCGTTTAGTATTTCGAAACCAGATCTCAACTCCGTGATTAATATTCCTGTGTATCAACGACCTGATATTAAAACTAAGAATATAATGAGAAATGGCTTTTGGCATTATTAGTGTTTAATGAAATAATAATAGACCCGTTTTGGTCGCATTCCGATGTATTTTCAAAAAACTTTATTACTTTTAAGTGATTTGCTGACAAAATTATAAACTAGATTGAATATTTATTGTACGCAAAAATATAACTAACAATATTTGCGCGTTTGTGTTTTAAACCACTCACACAAATGTTACTGTACTTCGCTTACACTCACGGCCACGGTTGTATCATCACTTAAATGATCACCGTTAGCGTTTAATGCTGACGTCATATTGCTGATTGATATTTTATTTTCTTAGTTTTTTAGCGATAATGCGTCAGAGCAGTATTTTTGACACTTTTTGTTCTGATTACAGAGCAAAAAACCGGTCCAAGTTTTCAAATACCTATTAAAAACTTAGTGGGAAATTACGTTCTGTTCCATGTATTATAGTGCTCTCTTATGTTGTTGGACAGGTATTATAAACAAAACCCTTGTTCTCGCAATTAAAACAAAGTCAAATGAATCACAGCATGTGAGTTATACATTTAAATAGCGCGGTTTTTATTCTAAAACGGTAAGTCAAGGCCTGGTAATTGCCGCGTCCATATCTATTCTGTTACTCGGTGTTTCCTGTCGAGGAGCACAGTGCCTCAACCTTGAATACGAACACTCATTATTTGGCCATTAACGGCAGCCTTCTCCGCATCACATTTTGGCAATAATTAGCGATTCTCGAGCGGTCGAGTTGTTTTAAGACAATTTGAAGCTAAATACGCGTGAGCCATTTATGTCCGTAACGATCTGACGTACATACATACCTACACCATCAAGCTGTTTTCCTTGTATATCAGCAGAATTCTAATGCAATAACGTGATTCTCATGATGAACTTCATACGTTCAACGGTTTCCTGTTGTGCTTCTTGTATAAATCATTTCGTTTTGTTACGGATCATGGTTTCCATAGTTCTATCGACGCCATTAAGTTATCAACTCGAAAACAAAGAAATTATTTTACATAATGAGAGCCTTATTGCGATTTCACGGTCGCTTATAAGTATTTGGACACAATTATTGAAGCATGTTTTGGGTAACTCGTACCTGCTTATTAAATTACAATTGTAATAATATCAAGCAATCGCGGCGTAACTATGTTAAGCATTAATAACCTTAACACATTTTGCGGCTTGCACCATTACGACTCGTGTTCCTAGTAATTATCGGTACATTAATCATCGACAAAATATTATTCTAAAATGATTAATTATGGGTTGTTCAAACTATTACGCTCCACTGTTACAATTGCGAGCGTAACAATAACTAAGCCTTCGATGGTACTTATGCCGATCTAATTTTATTTAATTAACGTAATTGTTGTTTCCTTTTTATTTCAATTTAACGGGTTTCGATGTTATTAGTACTCTGTTATAAAGCTATGATTTTTGTGGTACCTCAAACTTGCAACTATGTGCAAATCAACTTTTTGTAACAATATTTCTCAACGCATTATGACTTATGACCATCCAAAATGACTTAAGTTGAAAAATTACATCGGAATTATTATGATTTACAACGTTCAGATAATTTCCACGTGATCGTGGCCTTTGTGCCGTGCACATAATATTCAAAATATAACATGATAAATTATTAGTAGGCACACTGGCACGAACATACAAAGGCACGCATATAGAGGCGGCAGTAAAACTTGCCTGGGGCATTAATAAAAACTAGCGAGGCAGCGGGGCGGACTAGTATGACCTTGCGGCCGGGGTTATCGGACGCTGTTAGCATTTAACGCATTATAAAACGTAAGACAGCTATGAAGAACCGCTCCGGACGGAGAGCACATAAAATTCCGTTGAAGCCTTTTTTCCATAAGCATAAGTACCGATAGCACACGGTACGTAGCTGTGCTCGCGCCTGCCTCGGTGAAGAATCGGTTAAAAGGTCGCCCCGAAGGACATTTTTTTGTTTTGAATTATTTATAGTGGGCGCGACCGCATGTGGACCGTTCGGACCATATGTAAGCGTGTAACACACTTACAAATCTGCAAGCACTCGGATGTCTGATACTCAAGCATTCATAATTTAGGAGCCTACACAGCTGCAAGCGAGTTAACGGCCGTCTCTCTTGAAAATTATTTCTCATAAACATTCACGTGTTATGCTGACATTGAAGGAAGGAAGAAAAGGTTGTTAAATTAACGCGATTGTTTTCCCGCACAGCCTTTGTTCCGTTCGCACATGCGTTATCTAGCCATGAATTGGTACAGTCTAATTCGAATACCTACCTACCCACGCTCGGTACGCCTACAAAATGTAGGTAATTATTTAACCTTCCGTATATTTTTCAATAGCACTTTTGATACACAAAAAACCGATTCTAATACTTCGTCTCTCAGACCAAACGGTCGCAAAAACTGTTCAACGCTTTATTATTATTTTGATCACGGCGTGAATCACAACCAGATTTGGTGAGGGTTAATGACCCAAATATGTTTAGCGAAGTGTTCAAGGCTAGAGTCAAGTAATTCGACTAGCTAATAGAAAAAATCCGGTATCTTAGAAGGCGATCGGTTAACTTGTTTTCGCATATCCTCTGTATCAGCAGCAACTTCTACTTTATTACTAGTTTGTCCGTTAAAACAATTACCGTTATTCAAATTTTTAAAGGGAATGTCAAACCAATGTGCTACGTTAGAATATTAGGATTGGTTCAAAGACGATGTGTTT